CCTCCTTGCCAGCAGCCCCCCCTCCCCCCCCCCCCTGCCCCTGCAGCAGCCTCTGTCCATGAGGAGCTTGGACCCCCACAGACAGAGGCTTCTGCCACCGTGCACTGCTGTCTCTGCTACAGAAGCAGCAGCACGGGGGGGCAGGCAGCCAGTCTGTGCAAGGAGCTGATTTTTAATCTGGCTCCCCTTGCGGACCAGCTCCTACCTGGCACCTCACGCTGCTGCCTCTGATACACTGGCAGCTGGCCCTGCTCTCAGGAACTATTGAATAGTCCACTAACCAATACAATTTCATGAGTTTACTCAACTATTCAATTAACTGATATTTAACATTCCTATCAGAAACTCCAGGAGATCTACTGAAGATATGATCTGGGAGATTTACCCAGAAATGTAACAAGAAGCATCTTCAATAGAGTATTCCCTCCACCTTGGGATTTCATGAGAAACATCCACCCTGGTTTCCATTTATATAGTCCCTAACCTCTTACCCTTAAAACACATAGTCTTGGTCTTTTGAGCTCTCTGGGGGCAACCAGATAGGAAACATTCCTCAACTGTCCACGTCTAGAATTAAATTTCCCTCTTCCGTGAGACATCATAGGTCTACTCAAGAGGTTCATTATCTACAGTCTCAGACTGCTCCTGCAGGAATATGGCTGTATGGAAGGATACCTGAAGGAAATGGATTATTTATTCCAATAGCAATATATTCCTCGACAGTTGATTTTAGGATCTTTCTAGACCTCTTGCAACACATAGCAGGTCACTTAGAGTTTCTAATGGAGGTAGTGCAAGAAAAATCCCATTCCTAACCATGGTACAGAGCAGAATAAATTTCTACTTGGTTGATTTACATAGAAAAATGGAAAAGGTTTTCTGTTTGGGTAATTAAGTGTTGCCTGTCTCCTGTGGAAGCCTCTGTTTCTGCTGTTTACTATCTTTAAAATGTTTGAGATTTTCTCAGCTCTATAAGTGTATATCCGCAATGTCTGCACATTCATCTATGCAGAGTCATACCATATTTTTCTCAATTCCAGGTCTCATTTTGCATTCCATAGGCAGGGATTCATGTTTCTTTGAATATTGTCCCTGTGAGTTGCTCCATTCTATATATATCTGAGCCCCTGCACCTCTAATCAAAGATTTTTGGTGGTAGTGTCTGTTGAGCTTGCCCATGTGTTCTCCTTTCCTCATGGTTCCCCCTCAGTTCCTTGTCAAAAGCTTTGCCCTTGAATGGAGCAGGCAATTCTCCCTTCCTTATCTGTGTTGTTGGCATAAGTAGTAGTTTTTATTTCTTTTTTTCTCCTTGATACTTTTCCTTTTTACTCATGGGAATTAAAAATAAGAAACAAGGAAAGAAGATCTACTGCATTCCTCACTCCTAGAGGATGATAGTTCCTTCTCCCCCAGCAGCATAACAGACTCTCCCTATTTAAAGAGATGCCTCTCCTACAAGGAGCTTATTCCTGTAATGGAGAGGCACTCACTGTGTCTGGGCTCTGGGAAACAGTCTCTCTTCCACCAGCTACCTGGACCTGGGAGCTGAAGTTAAAACTCCTCTTTGTGGAGAAGTCACTTCACTCTCCAGGTGATTCCAGTGCTGACCCCAGATCATCCCTGGAGCGTGTAACTTTCAGTAGTAGTAGTAATGAACAAAAACCAGTGAACTTTCTCTCCCACTCCTGCAATAAGTTTGGGTTAAAAAGGTGTCTCAGCTGTTAGCCAGCCAGAGGGGCTCCTCAGCGTGGCTACCTTGGTACCAGCAGCTCTGAAAAATAGTACCCAGAGGGGTCTCCACTAAGAGTTTTGCCACACTGCCTGGAAAAACCAGGGGCTCAAGCTCTGAGGCAGTGGTACCACCCACTAAGGAGAATGGCAGCAAGAAAACTTCTGGTTCTAGGTATTTGGTTCTAGGGAGTGCTCTGTACCTTCTTAACCATTGGTACTGATCATGTACTATGGACACTTCTCTGCAGTACCAAGCTCCAGTACAGCATGAGCTCCAGTTCCCTAGAGACCTTACAGTTGGGAAAGAATTGTAAGCACTATTGCATGGGCCCCAGTACTGACCACTCTCTTCCCCAGGCTATATACCACCAATACTCTGTCAGCACTACCCTTACCTGATGACGAGTCTGACCATGACCAGGCAGAGGTCATTTTCCTGGTCCCTCATTGTAGCCTACCGTCACAAAAGCAGCCTCTGTGCGCAGCAGGTCCGAGCTCCCCACAGAGGATGTTCCCTCCTCCAACAGACCAGGCTCTTCCAATGCTAGCCCTGGCTGCTGTAGACAGAGGCTGCTTTGCAGCAGTCTCCCCTGCTCCTCTCCCCTGCCCCTGCAGCAGCCTCTGTCCATGAGGAGCTTGGACCCCCACAGACAGAGGCTTCTGCCACCGTGCACTGCTGTCTCTGCTACAGAAGGAGCAGCACGGGGGGGCAGGCAGCCAGTCTGTGCAAGGAGCTGATTTTTAATCTGGCTCCCGTTGCAGGCTAGCTCCCACCTGCCACCCCACACTGCTGCCTTTGATACAGAGGCAACAATGCAGATTGGCAGGGGGCTCCCTAGGAGTGGGGCTGGGAGAGCACTGGCTGCCGGCCTCATCCCCAGAGACTATTAAATAGTTGTGTAACCAATAAGATTTTATGTGGCTACACAACTATTGAATTACCTGATATCTAACATCCCTAGTTACAACCCCCCTCCAAGACCTTGCACCCTAATTCCCTATCCCTTTGCTTCAGCTACCCCAGACTAACACAGCTACATTTCTATCCCTGAACATAACCCACATCCCTGTACCCACTCCGGCCCCAGGTCACAACTGCCTCCTAGAACTTGCACCCCTCCTCCACATCAGAATCCTCTCCTGCACTCATACCCCCTCCATGCATCCCCTTCTGCACCCCAGTCTCCTGCCCCAGGTTAAAACTCCCTTCCAGATCCCACACCCCCCTCCTGCACCTACCTCCATCCCAGACCCCACACCTCCATTAATATCAAGGAAGAGTGTAGCCCTCAACTGCTTATGAAATTCTTGGAATGGCCCCCCATCAAAAATTACTGCCCACTGCAGTCTACTACATCTGAGTGCAGAAAGGGTCTTTCTCTTTTCTAGTAGTTTGCACTTTTAGTTTGTTATAAAATGTCCAATAAAAAATATTTATTTATGTTTGCTCTTTATGCTTCCATTTAAGGCCAATGATGAAAGGCCATCCCAGAGTCTCTAAAATATGCATGTATGTTAAATTAAACAGATAGTGATAAATCACATGGGAACACTATGAGACCAATACAAACATACATGTTCCACCAACCACTTCATTCTTACACTGAAGTTGTATTAAAACATTTTTCAACATAAGCTTCTAAGGAAGAGTAACATCACATTTTATTATTGCCTAATATGTCATCTTAAAAAAAAACCAACTACTTCTATGCCCTAGTTAGCTAACCTTTGCCTTTTAGTATCTTGATAAAGATATCTGCCACACAACTAATAGGTTTTCCAGTCAAGCTAAAACTTGGTAACAGGTTCTAAATTATAAGTTTCAGGACAAGAACTAAATGCATATAGATGGAAATAACTGAAAATAATTCTCCTATTCTAACATTTCAGAAGAGAAGCCAGCTATTGGACAAGATAAATGTGAAACATATTCTTATGCTGCATATGCCTCTCTTCAGCCCAGTGGATCTGCATGCCCATGCCCATCACCATCACCTTGAAAACATGAAGCGCTCAATATGCCAAACCTTACAACAACAACAAAAAGTATCCTACCAGATTCCACTGGGTTCACGACAGGTCTTTCTGTTCAGGTCAATCTTGTCAGGAGATATTCTGATGGATTTTTTAATGCTTATAATAGGCCGCGATCTTTATTATTATTATTATTTGGAGGGGTGGGATGGAAGAGTAGAGAGAGAAAAGAAAGAGAAAAAATGTTACAATTAGTAAATTGTGTTACTCTGACTTTAACAGAAGCAGCAGCCTCTTATAGTTGCACTGATTTGCTGTGAAAATTCCCTATATCACAATACTATTAAAAGAAATGCAGGTTCTGAGTTTCAGAAAGGCTGGAAATAAAACTTACAGCATGTTGGGGAGACAAGGTGGGTGAGGTAATATCTTTTATTGGATCAACTTCTGTTGGTGAGGGAGAGAGAGCAGCTTTGAAGCTTAAAATAGAGCTCTTCTCCTGTACATAATGCTGAAGCTAAACAACCCTGAAAACCCACGAAGGTCAAGTGACTTTACTAATTTTTTTAAAACCACTATGATAATGTTACAGTTGTCATTTTACAAACACAAATAGTCAGGAAATTCAAAGTGATGGTGTGCCGGCAACCGTTCCCACGGCAATTGTAATTAATCCATGTGCGTAGACAGTGAATAATAGAAGTAATTTTAGATTAACATACATGTCAACTTTAATGTGCAGTGTGAATGGCTGAGTTCTGGCTGCTAAGGCAAACAACATTTTCACTTCCTGACTTTCATGCATATAGGGTTGCTGGCATAATGCAACATTAGCAGATTTATTCTGTGTTTTAAACATGAGAGGAATGTATTTATTTTCTTTTTAAAATATTATTTGTATTATGGTAGTATCTAGAGGCCCCAGTCAACATGGGGGCCCCACATTATGCTCTGCATGCTACAATGCAGTAAAAAATGGCCCCTACCCCGGTCAGGAGACAACAGTTATGTCTGCATTGCAAATCCACTGACCTTGTCGCTCACACAATGTCTCCTTGCACTCTGATGTCGAGGGAGCCCCACAGAACAGATTTTCACGTCACAGGTTTAAGAGCTGCCTACATGAGGTTTTGGATTCAGCCCCTCCCTTTTACGCCTCACACAGCAGAATGCAGTGATTCTTTAGTGTTAAGACTTTGCTTGGTCACAGTGGGCACATGTGCATTCAGGATATTCCAAGAGCTCATAATCTATAGTTCTCTTAAACATTGCTACATTTTCTTGAGAAGCACATAAACTCTAAACATCAAGGATGTTAAGGTTATCTTTCAGCCAGTTCAGTAGAAGGGTATATGTCTACAAAGTACACTATGCCCAGATCTGCAGGACTCAGGCTTGTGGACTCGGCATTTCCAAGCCATCAAGCATCCACATTGCATTATAAAAATGGGTTTACAGTTGTTGGACCTGGGTCCCAGAGACATGTTAATGTGTCTATATCACTCTATACACACCACCTCCCTCAGGTGTGTAGCTTGAACAGCATCCACACGGCAAAATGACAGAGCTTACCTCAGTCCCAGCAGGACCTGGGCTTTGACCCATCCCCAGCAAGATCATCAGAACCAAACTGAGTGTTTGGGTCAGGTTCTGAGGACCCTTCTGGGGAAGACCTATTGATTTGTGTAGATGGAAGGGTGTTTGGGCTCTGAATAAGAGCCTGGGCTTATAGTGTACATTTTAGACCAGGAGTGGACAATATTTTTGATGAAGGGGGGGAGGGAGTGCTCCAAGGTTTTGGTAAGTGGTCAAGGGCCTCACTCTTCTATGGAGGGGGTGCAGCGTCTAGGACGGAGATTGGATGCAGAAGGGAACTCGGTAGGGGGCTGGAGTGCATGGTAGGGTGTGGGGTCTGAAGCAGAGTTTGGGTGAAGGAAGGAGTTGTGATCTAGGACAGGTGATTCAGGTACATGATCCAGGAAGGGGGTTTGGATACAGGAGAGGATTCTGGACTGGTGGGGAAGTGTAGGAGGGGGTGCTGGGTCTGGGAAGGAGTTATATCCTGAGGGAGGAAGGAATGGAGAGGGTTTGAGTGGTAACCTGGGGCAGGTAGTTGAAATGCAGGAAGGGTAGAGTGCTCCTAGGCAGCTCCTGGCCAACAGCCCAGCAGGATCCTTGGCAGGCTCCCTGCCTGCTGCAGCCCCAGGCCACTCAAAGCAGCCAGTTGCTGGGGCCTTGTGCTTCTCTGTAATATATGCCACGGAGGGGAGAGCGACTTTCCCCAGCACAATCATTGCAGCTCCCACTGGCCAGTCCCTTCCCATCTGCAAATGTCACGTGGTGCCTAGAGGCAGGCAAGAAACCTGCCTGAGGGTCCTAGTGGGCCACAGGCCCAATCTGGCCCGCGAGTCGATTTTTGCCTGCCCGTGGTGCAGACCTACCCAAAAGAGACCAGACTGATGTATGTGTATCCTTCCAACTTCTGGACCAAAAAAAAAAATATTACAAACCTGAAACAAATCTCTTCAAAGCAGTTTGTTAGAAAACCAATCTAGATTTAGGTAAATTGCCACATACAATACACACCTGTAAACAGACACAGAATCTGAAAGTGACCCAACAGCAATATCAGGGTAGGAGTTTCTATCAAGATCCATATTTCCAGTAACAGAATAACCAAAAAATGAAACACTGGATTTTTTGCCATCAAGAATCTAAAAACAAACAGATTGGTAGGAATAAAACATTCAAGTAATTATCATTGTTTTATATGCCAAATATCTAGGACATTCGCAAAAATGAGGCATACAAATCACATGTTCCTTTGCTCCAATTTATCTGTTCCTGGGGTTTCTACCATTTGCGAAATACAGTATGAGAAAAATATAATTAGCTGGTGAATTTTGTACTCTTCCTTTCTGAACCTGTGTTCTCAGTCATAGAAAAGCAACAGATGACTTAGATTTTTCCAAAGGGACATGCCTCTGGAGAATTGCTCCTTTCATGTGGTACTTGCTCCCTTTTCCCCACCGTAGGTCTGGCAGATGAAAGGAATGTTCAAATTTGTCCCTTAAATGCTATAAGCCAGATTGGCACAAACTGTGCACTGTAAATGCAGCCCCTTTGTAAGTGCAAACTAACCCAAAAACCACTATAGCCAGCCAGGAGGATCATATCAGTGTAGGAGCGAGCAATAAAATGGCAATGAGCTGCCACCACTATATTTACTTGCGCCTCTGCAGGTACAGGCGATTGCAGCTCTGTAGTGGGGCGGAGTGGCCGCCCGCTGAGCCGGAGGTGGAGGAACCCCTCTGGGAGCCATTTTGGGCACAGCCTAGCCCCACCCCCTCACCTGACCGGAAGCCAAGGAGCGTGGCTAGGACTATAAGAAGGCAGCCAGGAGCTCTGGACAGGCCTCTGTCTCCCTCAGAGGCTGGGCCCTGACTGAGCTCCCTGGCAGCCTTCTTATAGTCCTAGCCACGCTCCTTGGCTTCCGGTCAGGTGAGGGGGTGGGGCTAGGGTGTGCCCAAAATGGCTCCCAGAGGGGTTCCTCCGCCTCCGGCTCAGCAGGCGGCCACTCCGCCCTACTACTAGCTCCCATGGGCCACGGATCACTGTTCCTCGTCAAAGGGAGCTGCAGGAAGTGGTATCCTGGTTCATGCCACTTCCCACAGCTCCCATTGGCCAGGAACAATGATCTATGACCAATGGGAGCTGCAATCACCTGTACCTGTGGAGATGCAGGTAAATATACCACTGGTGGCCCTCCAGAGGCTAACCCTAGGGAACTAGATCCCGCCCATGGACAGGTATTTCCCCAGCTCTGGTGTAGTAGGATCACTATGTAACTTAGAATCAGCGAGATGTCCATTTTAGGGTTTTATGCTGCAAGATATATTCTCTACCACCACCCATTCCAGCTGCCAGCATAGAGGGTATGGCTGGACTTCCTTGTACTACTGTTGTGTGCCTCACTCGCTCACTGTGAATCCTCAGGGTCCTTTAACATACAGCCAAAGTCCAAGATTGGAGAAAGCAGAAGAAGGAGCTAAGCGCCATTTTTGCAGAGACACCTTCTTGAGCTTTGCTACAGCCAAGGATTTGGGCCTGCAGAAGGTGCACAGAGTGATGTCTATTGTGGAAGTTACCCAGTATAATATACTTTTGTGGAATAAAAATTATGTTTATAATGCTCTGCAAAGCTAAGCACAGATGGTAACAGGTGTTTAATTACCTGGGCTGGCTTTTGATTTATTCCGTTCTTGGATCCGTGATATATGAACACCTTGCCATTCCCATCATATGGTGCCCCCACAGCAATATCTGTTGAGGAAAAATTAGGAGATTTGAAAAATGTTATCCTGCTGGTGACATTCATGACAAAATAAGATGCTCTGAAGCTAGTTTTAGAAAAATGTATGGACATTGATACTTCAAGATCAGTTTTCTCACCTGGGAATCCATCCTGATTAATATCTCCAATATTTTCAACTGCAATGCCAAACATAGAATCAGTGGTTCCACTGAGGCGAACTGGCTTTACCCCTTCCCATTTGCCTTGTTGGTTAATGTAGATGTACACAGCACCTCCAGTTTCTCCATTTCTATCAAAATACTGTGGGGCTCCAACAACAATATCTTGCCAACTTAAAATGAAACAAAGTACAGCAATTTTAAAAGAATTGTGTAAAATAAGTAGAGAGTCCTGGAAAGTTTAAAATTACAGACTCAATATAATTTAAGTAAACTGATCAGACAAAGAGGCATGTGCTGAGAAAAGATCACTAAGACGCACTTTCAACTGGATCAAATAGTGATCATTTTTTATTAAAGGAACAAATTAAGTTAGTGGCCTTTCCCCTCTTGTCTGTGCTGTATAAAAGAAGGCCCCAAATGGTTTTAGTTTTGAGTGTGATTTTTGACTTATTTTTTAAAAACATGTTACCATTCAAGTTTGGGTCAGTCAACTTCTCATTTAACTGGCTGCCCTAATAATGAGTAGAAAAGAAGTCTGAAACTACCAGTAGTCATACACCCTCAAATAAATTCAAATTTAGGAGTATGTCTACACTACAGAGGTTTTTTTTTTGGAAAACGGCAATTTAAAAAAAAATCAATTATGCCCACATTGCAATCACGTTCTTTCGAGAAAAAAAAAATCGAAAGAACTGAGGGGTTTTTCTGACATTGGTAACGGCGTGTGTGGACGGGAAAGAGGGAGTTCTTTCGCTAGAAGAGGAAAGAGGAAGAAAGCACAGGTGCCCTGGTGGCCATTCTGCCCATAATAATCACAGCTTATATGCGAGATAGTGTCCACACTGAATAGATGCTATCTGTCGAAAAAGCAGATCGCTTTTTTGATGCGCTTTCGCAGTGTGGACGCTCTCTTTCGGAAGACTTTTTTCAGAAAATCTCATCTGGAAAAGCAGTGGCGAATTTAGGGCAGGGCGAGAGGGGCGGCTGCCCCGGGCCCCGCGCTTCCCGAGGCCCCGCGCATGTGCTGTGGCGTCACGGCGCATGCGCCGTGTCAAAGGCGGGGCCCCGCAAAATTTCGCTGCCCGGGGCCCTGCGGTGCTGCCCCGGGCCCCGCGGCACTCTCATCCGCCCCTGCGGAAACACTTCTTCCAAAAGAAGCCTACAGTTTAGACATAGCTAGGAGACAGCATCAGTGTACTTCTCTGAAACTCTCCATCTATCCTCCAGTAAAACCAAAAGCCAGACTTAACATGCCTGATATTGCTAATGTGAAAATTAAGCACAAAAAACAAGCAAATTGGAAAGCCTACTCTATCCATCCTAAATTGGAGGGTGGGCACACAATTACCATTTCTCTAAATTTTCACCCATTTGCTGGTCATCTTTAGGTACACTGTACATACAGTACACTGTTCTTTAATAACATAAGCTTAACAATCACTTTACCCATCATTGTTGAGATCCACAACTGCAACATCATAGCCAAAAGAAGAGGCCAGCCCTTCTCCTTCAAATATATGCACAAGTGAAAGTGCTCTCTGAAGCTGAGGATCTTTTTTCAGCAGAACAACAGCGCCACTGTGGTTGGCTCTTGGTGCACCAGATACAAAAGTTGTCTCTTCTTGTGAAACAATGCCTTTACCAGTGTCTAAAGAGAAACCTAGAACAAAAGAAAACAAAAACGATAGCTAGAATTTTGTATTGTTAGATCTGAAAAGTACATGCATGCACTATATTAAAGTGGTGCCTGGCAGCATTACTGCAACCAAATTTAGCAAATATACTCACTACATGCTACCATAATTATAAATCCGCTGTAATGATAAACAGCTTAAAGATAAAGTAGTGTGAAGACAGAATTCTATGAAGTGTAAATATCTATATAATGTCTGTAGGGGAAAAAAAGACCCATATTGAAAGTTCTTTATATTACAGACATATCTTTATATATCCACCACAGTTACCGGTATGTGTCATGTCTGTAAAATGTACAGATTGGGCAAACAAATTTGACACTATGTATATATGCAATCTTGAACGTGTGTATTGTATGTACATATGCCACCACTCCAAGCATTTGTACATTTTATAGACACAACGCGTTGTCATGTACTAGAAATAACTTAAAATCAATTTAATAAATCTACCCACTTTAATACAGTTTAAGTACTTTTCCTCTAACACAGAATGAGCACTTACAAATTTTATACAAATGTTATTTTATGTTATGAACATGCAAAACACATTGTGGAAACACAATATTTTATGTTATGTTATATAGTATTTGAGAATCTGCTGTATACAGTGGTGAAATCAGCAGAAACATGTTAATTATGTCTATAAAGGACATTTAAAAAACATGCAGTCTTAAATATTCAGTTTAAATTCTAAAGTTATTACATTAGATAATTATTATTTTACATATTTTAAACAGGATTGCTGCAGGCATATATTGCATTCTGGTATGAATTTGTACTATAAATCCCTGTATCAAAAGTCATACAAATTCTGAGAAAAAAAATCTAGATAAATAGTAAATATTAAACCTTCATCATCCCCTTTTCTTAGAATTCTTCACCACTGTCGTTACGATTCTCAATTACAAAAATAAGCCAGAGTTTCAGATAAGCTTGGTAGGAAGGCTACAGTATATTTTGAGAGCTACATTACAGATCAAGTTTTTCCCAAAGCCCCTTACTTTATAAGCTATTCTTCATCTGAATCCCTGATGTTGCATGCTTTTACTTGAATGTATTTGAAATGGAGAAAAATACAATAAATAAAGATTATGTCAGACTCTGGACACACACATATATAGTGGCACCTCACATAACAAACCTAGATAGCTATTCATCATCACACCAGTGGATTTGTCCACCTTTACATTGGGAGGCAATGTTTTGTATACAAACTGATCAGGATCAGTATCAGACACACTTGTCAAAAACAGAAGACCTGTGGACATATATTGGGGGGCAGGAGGAGAGATCAAAAGAAGAAAAACATGGTAGTTATGCAGTAAAAATAACTGCAGCATCATGTAACCTAGGCACAGCAACTGCCAATTAATGCCATTTCATTTCTTCGCTCTAAGATGGCTCTCTCTTTGGCAATGCTCTCTCATAGACATTAATCCCTTTCTCATTCCATTACCAGCACTTCTGGCTCCATTTTACTAGCATATATTTAAACCCATTGCAAATGTAGAGTACTGGTGTAGAAGTGTCAAACAAATCAGCATCTGCAGCAGAAAAGCAATTCTTTCTCTTGACACTGTCCAGTTTTTCAAATATCCCATTTAGCCTTTATTCTTAGACAGCTTATCTTTCTGGTTTGTAATAGCATCTCTCATTTGGCCTTTTTTTCCATTGTTCGCATTAAGCAGGGCAGTTTTCTTTTGCTCTTCATCAAGGAAAAAAAAATCACACTACATTTTTATCCATGTCAATCCACACTAAAGCTTTTAGAAAACATATCTGTAATTACCATGATGTATTTGAGTTATTTAGGACAGCCATTAGCTGTGCAAAGAACCCTTAGCAGTTAAGTGACTGGTCACTGGGTGTAATTTTGCTGCTCCCAGCACATACACAATGTAAACTTACCAGTCACTCTCAGAAAGTCAGGTTTCACTACAACTCCCAATGCTACGTGCTCATGGCCATATGAATAAGGAGGATGAATACTTACTGTTAAAGAGTGATTATAATCACATTGTGAGAATTTGCAGGTCCTCACCATAGCTCTTATATGTCTCATTATATTTGTAACTCTTACAGGTACCTCAATTGAGTATCATCTTGTACTTCAAACTAGCCCATAAATGTAGGAGGGTTGCTTTTTACAGGAGCATAAATAAATTACTTTCTGCTCATATTGTACGTTATTGAACATCACTTGGATAGTGAGTGTTCAAGAAGTCTGAAGAGTTTTACCATTTGGGATTAATCCTACCTAAATAACTGTTAGCTGGAACAGGAACTAGACTCTCAGCTTGGCGGCTCTCATCACCAACTTCATAAGGCCCATCATCATAGATCCCCTGGTCATAAAATGAATTATTCTTTTGCTCTGCACGAACCACCCCTGAAGGAATGAAATGGTAAAATAAAAATGGATGAATGACAAGAGAGGAAAATAATAAAGACATGGTTCTTGATTTACATTAGCAACATTGTCCTTGTGATCATTGTTTGAATCTCATGCATATGGGTGTCATGATACAGAAGTTTTGTGATGCTATGCAATGATTTGGAATACATAGTATACATTATTAAAATTGTCAATAAAACATTAATAAACTGATCAGCAACCCTCTTCACTCACCGTATTATTTCACCCTTTCAACAAGGTATTATAGAGAAAGCATCAGGGGTTGGCAACCTTTTCAAACCAAAGAGCCAAAAACTACATCAAAATTCACAAGTGGTCAACAAAGAGCTGTATAAAAATATACAACTTAATATTATTGATAATTGACATGATGATTAAGAATAGCATAAATGAAACAGTGTACGCATAGTCTTTATTTAATGGGACTTCTGTTGCTGCATCTTTTTGCACATTTCTTTAACGTTTACATCATAACTGGTCAAATCCAGCTTCATGCACGCATTCAGGCTGTCTTCTGTCAATCTTATGGCAGGGGGCTGGCGGTGTATGAGGGGCTCAGGGCAGGGGATTGAGGTGTAGGAGTGTTATGGCAGGGCACTGGGGAAGTGGGGGTTTGAGGGATTCAAGTGTACGATAGAACCATAGAATACTAGGACTGGAAGGGACCTCGAGAGGCCATCGAGTCCAGTCCCCTGTCCTCATTTCAGGACCCAGTACTGTCTAGACCATCCCTGATAGACATTTATCTAACCTACTCTTAAATATCTCCAGAGATGAAGAATCCACAACCTCCATGGACAATTTATTCCAGTGTTTAACCACCCTGACAATTAGGAACTTTTTCCTAATGTCCAACCTAAAATTCCCTTGCTGCAATTTAAACCCATTGTTTCTTGTTCTATCCTCAGAGGCCAAGATGAACAAGTTTTCTCCTTCCTCCTTATGACACCCTTTTAGATACCTGAAAACAGCTATCATGTCCCCCCTCAATCGTCTCTTTTCCAAACTAAACAAACCCTATTCTTTCAGCCTTCCTTCATAGGTCATGTTCTCTAGACCTTTAATCATTCTTGTTGCTCTTCTCTGGACCCTCTCCAATTTCTCCACATCTTTCTTGAAATGCGGTGCCCAGAACTGGACACAATACTCCAACTGAGGCCTAACCAGTGCAGAGTAGAGCGGAAGAATGACTTCTCCTGTCTTGCACACAACACACCTGTTAATGCACTCCCCAATGCTTGGGGAGGGGCTGGGGGAGTCCCTAAGCCTTGGAGGCTGGATCCAGGGGATGGGCATTAGGGGATGAATAGGGACACTTACTTGTTTTTGTGCTGCATCGCGGGCACTGTGTAACGTGGCCTCCTGTTGCTCCCATTTACCAGAAGGAAGTGTGTCCCAGGGGAAAGAAAATGGCTGCACTCATGGAGCCATTTTTGGCTGCTTGTTCCCTGCATGTTTTCTGGCAGAGAGGCTCAGGCACTGGCATTCCAGTCTTGTGGGGGGCTGTAAGGCTGTAGCACCAGTGCTAGCTCCCTGCTCTGAGGGAGTGGAGTTGGGACTCCAGAAGAGCCGTATTTGGCTCCCTAGTGAGCCATATTTGGCTGTGAGCCACAGGTTGCAAACCCCTGATCTAGATCCACAAGATTTCAAAATAACAATAGTAATTTGCATTTAAAAATGTCTAAAAACAGAAACCAAAGGATACCGATATATCCATTGTTTTTCTGACATTTTCAATACTTGGTAGGTGATGTGTCAGCTGCCACAGTCTTTTAGTTTTTGCTTAGGCAGAAAACCCATTAAATTAAATGAAGTTTTAATCACTGCCTTCTTAGACTACAGAGCCCAAGCTCCAGTCTGGGGTGCACTGCTGATTTTAACCCAGAGCACGAACCCCACCACACAAGTCTGAGATGCTCAGGTTCTCAGACTTGTAGCTACAGGTTTTAAACACATTGAAAAGGCACCCATGATTTCCACACAAGACAACTGGTGTCACACAAAAGAAAAACACATTGCAGGATCAACTAGGATATAGGTCTTAGTGCAGACCCATATCTGAATAATTACTCAAATGCAGAAAAATGAGATGTTGGCCACAAAATGTTAAATATATGTTTCCACCCTTTGAAGCAAATACCGAATACTGCAGTAAAATTAAGACCGGCGAGGTAGGAGTTTCTTACAATACCATGTGTTAACGTATGTAATCTGTGAGTTGTAGGGATATAAGCAACTAGTCGACTACCCAATGGGGGAAAGGTTGCGAAGGGGCATGGTCTCGGGGAAGGGGTGTGGCTTTGGGCAGAAGGGATGGGGCTTCAACTGCCTTCCCCAACTGGGCCTTCATCCACCACCCATGGGCAGCAGCCAGGACCTGGGCAGCCAGGCTCAGGAGTGGGGCAGGGTGATGCTCTCTACCAGCCCCTCACCCACCCATAAATGTCCCTACATATTAAGGGTCTCTGCCTTTTAATGTGACTTTTTTTGAGAATAACTTTAGTAACCTTTCATGGAGCTAAGAACTTAGTATTTACAAAAACAGTGTAAATGCTGAAAAATCTAGGAGGGGGACAGAGAGTGGGTCATACCTTTCCAGTTATAAGTTCCTGGTGCACCAAATACAATATAATGATAGTCTCGAGTAAAGGTAGCAGCTACACCTTGCTGGCATGAACCAAATTTCTCATGGCCTCTCAATCGGCCTTCACAAAATCTCCAATCTCCACCATCCATGTCTCCACCGTCCACACCAGTCTTAATAGTGAGATCCTGACTCAGCACATAGCACCTTCCAATGATATCACGCGTTTCCTGATCTGTGTTTACATATTGCCTTTTCTCATAGCGATGTGCACATGTCTGCAAAGAAAACAAAGATAAAGCAAATTAGAAAAATATTCTATGTCGTCTATATTTTTTTCTGGTAAATCATCTTTAAAGTCAAATAATGAGGCCATTCTCTATCAGCCACATGCTCCCATAGCAGCAATAAACTACAGGTACAGTAAACAGGATATAAGGGGTGCCAGAGGAAGGCAGGAGAGAAGCAGGTATGGGGTGCACTCGGAGGACAAGACAGAATTGGGAAGGAAGAGGCAGATGAGGTGGAGAAGAGTAGGAAGAGGCAGGATGGTCTATTATTTCTTATGGGGAAAATTTCCCTGATATTGTGTTCTTAAAAAGGGCAATGGACATGAAAATGACAAATACCAGGGAATTTTTCCCCATAAGAAATAATAGCTCACTCTACCTCTTCCTGCCCAGTTCCATTCTCTCCTATGAGTGTACCCCATTCCCACTCCTCCCTTTTCTTCATGTCACTGAATAGGCATCTGTGCAGTTGTTCCAGGCTGTGCGGGAAGCATTGAAAGGGAAGGGGAGGAGTTGAATGACCCACTGGCAGAAGGGATGTGCTATGGGGGGGGATGGTCGGCACCACTGGCTGCCAGTGGGTGATAAACATCAACACAAAAGCAACACAAAATGTGAGGCCATGTTGTAAATTGCACACAACGGATGTGCAGCTTGGAAGTGACTTGAATTGGAAGATGTTCCCCTATGATGCGCAATGGATATGAAAAATTACGGCTAAGTGGGAGAGACTCCATGTACTTATGTCTGGAAGAATTCTGAGAGACTCAGAAGTTTGGGCCATATCTTGGAAACCCTGCTGATCACAGCACTTATATGCATACACACAACATTTCACACAGTTTGGTGTGGGGGACAGGTTTGCTTCCCCCAAAAATGGCAGCATGATTGTGCAAAAGCCAGGCTGTCACTGGTTCCCTGCTGGTGACAACAAATTTGCTCCTGCCTCGAAGCAAGTTTAATGCTTCCTCCAGCAGCATTACTAACTAACAATTTTGGAGGTAAGGGAGATATGAGGCGGGTGAGATAATGCATTTTTGGACCAAATTCTGTTGGAGAAAAAGACAAGCTTTTGAGCTTCACAGACCCTTAGCTGATGTACTGTACTACCATAACTAGGATATTTCATAATGAAAGCATTGGGATGTAAAGCTCTATGGCAGCTAAGGTAGGGAAACCTTTTTGGGTTGGGGGCCACTAACCCACAGAAAAAAAATAATTCAGGGGCTTCAGACAAGTGAAAAGCAAAACAAAACAAAAAAACAAAAACATGGCCCCCAACTGAGAAGGAGAAAGACACCACCACATTTCCCTCACGTACCAGAGCCTAGGGGAGCCCAGCTTCAAATTTTGTGTGCTCCAGCCCTGCGGTGGGGGAAGGCTGGAGTGCCAGTATGCACTCCCCAATGCTTGGGGGGGGAGGAGTCCCTAAGCCTTGGAGTCTGGATCCAGGCAAGTCAGGGGCCGCATCCATCTTCTGGGCCTTAGGTCCCCCTCTCCCTCAACCCATGGCACGTTCTGCGGTAACTCATGAGAATTTCTTCCCTCTGCACCATATAAAATAAGGCCATACAACCTCATCACAATTAACATCTTTCACTGAAAGATGAATTACAAAAAGAGATTTCATTCCACAATGCTAGAATGAAAACAATCATCCACTGTTCGAGTTCATCTATTCCAGGGGGGGCCAACTTGAAGCTCACGAGCCACAGGCGGCTCTTCCCCCCTTTAAAGTGAAGCTCAAGAAGCCTCCCCCACAGCTCGTGAAGCTGACCCTGCACCCTGTGGCGATTCAAAATGGCACTCCCAAGGCTGATGTGGCCTTGTCTTTTCTTTTAAAGGGCCAGTGTCCCTTTTTTTTCTGCTCAACAAAAATTGCTCACAAAATTCTGGTGCAGCTTTTTTCATTTTTTTCCACCGCTGTTTCGGCTCTCTTCATTTAATGGGTTGGCCACCCGATCTATTCCTCTGTGATTGTCACTCACCCTTGGTGATCTTCAGACTTAGTTTTTGTATTTACTAATACTGATGAGGCCAAGAAAATATGACATTTCTCCCAAACTCATACGAGAGAATTTGAAGAAAAAAATTCTCATGGTTAAAAAAATGTTTTAATTGAAAACTACTTCAAGCTTCCATTTTAAAAACATACTTCAGTAACACAAGCCACAGAGATGATTTACTGGTACTTACTTGCCCATCCTAGATTATGAAATCAAGTGAATTCTAAACTCAGATGAGTAGAAAAACATTCAAAAACTCTGCTGTTCCCTGACTTGTCATGACAGGAGACCCTTGCACTTTATCTGCAGTGTCTCACTCCTCTAGAGAAAAATGTTAATTCCTTATGTTTAGGAAAAAAATGTAATGCAACCAAATCTACAAAGAATTCTTCAAAGGTCAAATACATATAATTTTAAAACATGCAGCATAAACCTGAACAAACATGAATATTTAACTTACCACCACCTTTCCTCCTGGCCCCTGACTTTGGACAGTTACACCCATCCACTGGTCTTCTTTACTTTCAGTTGCTGGATCAGCTGCATTATCACAACAGATTTACACACTATGGTTAACTCTTGTCAGAAAATGTGTGTTTTATTATAAACCTAGATTTTTAATTCAGTAAACAACTCCATGCAGCACCTGAAACAGCCTTTAGGTGGCACTATCTGTACACTTTACCCATACAATAAAAACCTGAATTGTTGGGGATTAGTTATATCAGTGAAAAAAGATTTGTGGTGGTGGTGTTTTTTTTTTTTTTTATAAGATGTAACACTTACTGAAGAACATAATCATAAGCAAAACATCTGGATTCAAAGTTATCAATATTGCTTTACCAATTAAGCTAAGGCTTGTTTTCACTCAAATAAATAAGAAAAGCATATTGAGGCTTACATCTGATGAGGGGAAAAAAAAGGCAATGACTTCAGTCTAAAGAAAAATATGGAAGAGACTACCTGTCTCATCAAACAGGACACGTGTGCATTGTGTCTCTGGGGATGTAATGTCACAGCTATACAACCCTCCAGTTCTGTTGGCTTGCTGGGATGGAAAGGCTTTATCCCGAGGTGCTCCAACCAGCAATCTGTTGAGAGAGAAATAGCAAACCATATATTTTGCAGAACTTGGCATAACCTGAGAGAAAAAACAAAAGGAATATCAGGGGATGTTGTTTTGATCATGCCAGTAGAGATCTGATTTGTAAACTACTGAAAGCAAGTGACATAACTATACCAGAGCAAACTAGTATTTTTTTAGAAGTAGAAAAAAATCTCTCAGAAAATGGCTTTTCTATGAAAACTGACAGTGTAACAAATGGCACTGTAAGGTTATTCAATTATTTAAAGATTCCATATCAAATATGCTCAGATTAAAAATATTTTTCCATAATTGCCACCCAACCATTCAGCCTGGGATCTGAGAATCACACTGGATTCTTTATGGCTAATTAATATTTAACAGTAGTAAAAAAGGTGACACTGAAAAACCCTAGAGCTAGTAGATAATCAGAATTTAAATCCAATGAAAAATTCTGTTACAGTATTTGGACATTTATTTTCATCCCAAATTAGGAGGAAAATTGAATTGTTTTTCAGAGCACTGAAAATATTGCTTCATAATGTTTCATTTTTTATCATAAAAGTCAAAATGGACAAGAGGGCAGACCATAGTGAATTATGAAAAATGTAGTCCACAGAAGAGGATGGAGGCATGTGGCACCCAAACTAGAACTCCCATGAGGCAACATGGGAGCTCACGCCCGCAATACAGTAACATTGAACTGACCAGAAACAAACTGCTGTGATAGAAGTGGTTGTACCCATGAAAGCTCATGATACCATCTACATGTTTTGGTAGTCTTTAAGGTGCTGCTAGACTACTCATTTTTTAAGTTTTTTCAGTTACCGACTAACTTGGCTACCCCTTTGAAGCTGTTGTGATAGAAGCATTTTAATTTGAACCAATTTCAGTTCAACCTGAACCAAAATATTTTGTTTAAATTTACCTAATGGAAAAAAGGTTGCAAGATTTCAGTTTTTCAGAAACAGCATTTTCTGCTGAAAAAAAAAATCAAAACAAATCTCCCAGCTCCATTAAAATTGCTTTCAACCTTCTATATACCATAAGGGAACAAACAAAAAGAGCATACCTTTAATTTGTTTTCAAGGTTACTTTTTTTTTTAATCCAATATCTAAGTACTATTAATTTGTGGTTGCAATAGCTTAGTACCCAAAAGTCTAAACATTTTTCAAATGCTTTTGCCAGCAGTTGCTGTTTGTCCTTCAAGACTATAACTGTACCAGGTTCATGAACCAAGAAAAATTTAAAATCATCTGAGATAAATTACTGCTGAATGGTTCTGTAAATCTTATCAGATGCACAAGACAGTTAAACAATCATGACTTATGAAAAGACTCTAAACAGGTTTAAATTAAATAGATACAATTCGTACATTCTAATTTAAATGTGGTAGAACTAATCCATGTGCAGCACTACATGTCTGCCTTGTAGAGCACAACAGAGTGGGCTAAAAGTCTCAGGCACTACAGCACAGGTAATTGTGACCATTTCTGAGAACTATTAACTTTAAATTTTAATTTCTTTTGTTCATAAAATTGAATTAATCTTTGATTCAAGTCAAGCATTCTAATCCATGAACAATGCACTCTACTCACCCTACATACCATTCTTAAATAGCACCAGTCTGTAATAGAAATTACTGTACTACCTTCATAAAGTAAAAGTCAATCTCTGGTTATGGATGGATATGCACAAAGTTAGTGATGCTGAGCCTTATGCACCAGGGTGAGTTTCATCTAGGCCAAGGCAGTCCAAATTACCGTATTTTCCGGCGTATAGGGCGACTGGGCGTATAAGACGACCCCCTATCTTTTTAATTAAAAGATAGGGTTTCATCTTATCCCCCAGCGCCCCTCCGCCTCCTTTGCTCCCGGTGTCCCTGGTCTGCTGGAGATGGTCCCCAGCAGACCAGAGGCACCGGGAGCAAAGCCGCCAGGAGCGCCTGGGATGCCCCCCCGCCGGCTTTCCCCGAGGCTTTCAAAGCCGCGGAGGGGCTCCGGCGGCGGGG